ATAGTTTAAAATAACAGTCATTAGATTTAATATTATTAATAAGCTTTTTAATTTATTTTATAAAATATGATATATTAGAAGTGATGATACAGCCTATAATATTATTTTAATAACTGTTATACCAAATCAGATAAGTATTTTTTTCTTGATAAAATTGTTCAATGAGGGCTTAGCTTGCATATCAATCCAGTTTATTGTTGTTTTGTAACTTTAAGTTAAAATTTATAATGCAATTGTATAATAGTTCTTTTGTATAATGTTTGTGCATCATTTTAATCAATAAAATATGATTATGATTAGTTGTTTAAATATATATAATGTAAGCAATTTTAATAGATTATACAGTTATTATGTTAAATAACTCAAAATATGCAATTTGTGCAATGTATAATGTATATATAGTGTAGACTAAATTATGCATATATTATGCAGCATCATAATTCTAGACACTATAATCCTAAGCACTGTTTGTAGAATTTCTATTATATTTTGAGCTATGAAAACATGATCCTAGATGCACGTAACAGTAATGATCAATGTAGCACAGTAATGAAATTAATGCTATATTGATCATCTACCTATCTGTGCTAATTTTTATTTTTTTTGATTACTAAAACTTATAAAATCTGATCAGAGATCTTTTAAATTATTAAGATGTTAGACAGTCAATTGATGTATATATCATTATTAAGTATTCTAAATTTAAAATTTACATATAAGAATTTGCTTCTAACTGATTACCTTAGCCTTTAACTGATTACTTTTTGTGTAATATCTGATTTTGAAATATATAGATCTAATTACTGTAATACTAATCAAGTCAATAATAATGATAATTTAATATACAGTATCTAATAATTCAACTATATGCATATTTATAATATATACTATTACTATATATTAATTATGATATTAATATGACATTATGTATTTTTATATTGATCGATTAGTCATAAAGTTTAATAATAAAACTCAAATAATTTATATACTAAATTTATTAGATAATTATTTAATTATAAATTTATCAAGCTCTTCTGTTGTAACCAATATTAATAAAAGTTCTAAAAATCAAAAAATATTTAAGCCTTATCAATACACTCTATGTTAAATAAAATAATTAAAAATGTAAAAAAGCTTTATCAACATAAAACACTTAAACATAATGATTACAAAATACTACCACCTAATATTCCTCTATTACTTTCAAATGCAATTCAAGAATTTTGTGAAACATTAATATTTTTTATAAAAAAAAATTATCACTTAATTTTAATAAAACTGAAAAACAAATAATCAAAATTTCATGCAGTGAAAGCCAATTTGTCAGTATATTTAGACTATGGATTCAACATTATTTATCTTGTAAAGAAAAGTATATATGTGTTTTTAAAGATTAAGATGCTAATGCAACAATGACAACAATATTACAAGATACTGAATAGAGTGGATGATGGTATGAACTTGACCAAAAAGCATATATAATATTATATGTTTCATCACTATTAGATTTTCAAAAAGTACCTGAAATAAAAATAAAGTGGTATATTAAAACAATAACTGATGCTCATCAGAATACAATTTCTAGAGAACTTATTCTTATTAAATTTTAGGTTGATTTTATTAGCTATCAAATTCAAAGATAAATGAAATATTATATTATATATAAATTTTAAGTATTAATTATTAATTAATTTATTAATATAAACAATAATATGTATAATATATATTTATTAATTTATTAAAATAATAATATAATAATTACTATTTAATATAAATATGTTTAGATTTGTTAAAAGCTAATAGTATTTTATTTTTAATATAATACAATAATCTGTTTTCATATTGCAATATTGTTAAAATTAAAGAAGATTGAGTTTTATTTCATTATTCTTCAAAGTTTTATTAAAAAAATATACTATTTGTTGGTGATTTTTTTTTTCAATTGAAGCACAAGAAAATGCACAAATTTCTAAATTGCTATTATTCTTAATTATATCTGAAATATGACATAAAGAAGGTGCATATAAGGTGTAATATCTAATGGCTTATATAATTCTTTAATAAAATCTGATATATATAGCATTCCTGATATTGCAGTTAAAAATAACTCTCTATTTTTTTGCCTCATTTATGAACATCTCACTAGTAGTTTTTACAACATGTAATAATTTATAAAGATAATAAAACTTATTCCAAAGTTATCGAATAAGTATTGCTCTTTGTCAATTAAAAAGTTTTGTAAGATCAAATTCACAAAGTAGTTTATATTTTTTGTTAACTGTTAATAATGTAAAATTTCATATATATAAATTATATTATTGCCAGAAATAAAAACTAATACCAATTCATTTCATCTCTTTACATATAATATTTCTAATCTGATTGTTATTAATATCAATTTTGGCTAATACTAAGCTTCATAAATGATCTGTAACTTTAAGTAATATATGAAGTTCATCCGGAATCCAGTTTTTTAAGGGTATTATAAAAAATAATGGTTTTTGAATATATTTAGAACAAGTATTATAATTATTAATAAGCATTTTCATATTTTTTTATCATAATATTTATTATATAATCTGATTTCTTTTTTAGGACACTTGCAATAAGAACAAAAATATATGCATTAGCAACATTTATTCCAAATATAAAGTAAGAAATTTTTAATCTGAAGAGAAATAAAAATTAATATTTCATTTATTGCCAAATTTATTAACAATTCTATTTTAAGAAATATCTTGTAGGTTATAAATTAATGGTATTAAAACATTTTGTAAAATTTGATAATCTTCAATGCCAGGATATAGAACTATAGTATAATGTCATTCAGATATCTAATAACTACTAATATCATTAAGACTAGAACATGTAATTATAATATGCTTTATATAACATCCTACATTCCAACCATCTTCTGATATTCATAACATAATTAGAGGATTATTGGAATCTAATATATTTTCTTCAAGATAAAATAGAATCATATACTTTAAAATATTCTTTATACTTCTGTAACTAGCCTTTTTAATTGATTCAGTTATACTATGAATTATTTTTTTATTATTAATATGAATTTCTTTATTATTTGCTATAAGTATAGTTGAACTATTTATATTAATGTCTATAATATAAAAAGGTATAATATTTTGCATTATTTTGTCAAGATTAAGATTTTTATTACTAATTCTATATTTACAATCTAATTCTGGAAAAAAATTTGTAATTGATCAAAAAGCTTTTTATGAAATATAACTACTATCTATTGTATAAATATATGCTTGGTTTTTGATTTTTTCAAATATTTTATCTTATGAATAATTAACTATCTGATTCTAATTGTCAACTAACAAAACAAGCAATTTTATTTGTATTTGATCCTTATGTTGTAAATATATTGTTTTATGACTAATATAATTATATACTTTTTCACTAATTTGTTTAATTTGAGATCTTTTTGCTAAATTACTCAAAGTTTCAAGAGGTCAAAGAATATTAAATTGGTGACAAAAATATCTAGCTTGTTCTATGCATTTAAGTTGTAATCCAAATACTACAGTTCCAGGCAACATTGATGTTCTATTAGGTTTATATATCTTTTTATAAAAAAATTTTTTTTAATATTGATTTAAATATTAAAAATTTTTTTAAAAGCTTTACCTACATGAACAAATTTACCATATGAGTTGCACTTTGCCAAGACTCAATTATTTGAAGACTATTATTATTATATTTGATTGTAAAACAAGACTTTAATTGCATTTTATTATTAATAAGTTGATTTATATAATTAATAGTGCATATAATGTTTCATGTTTTACTTTTTTTCACTCAACTAACTATGACTTTGTAATTATTAGGAATTCTATAACTATTATTTTTTTTTTGTGTCTTGACAAGAATAGGTGGTGATGAATAATATTCTTCAGAGATAATAGTATAATGATAAGTGCCAGTAAATGAATCCTTATATTCAATTTCAGGTTTTCTAGGATAATCATGAAGTTCCATTGTATCTTGTTTAATTTTATTACTTGCCATTTTAAATAAACAAATATGCAATTAAGATATATATAACAATAGTGTGAAAATTTCTAAAAGCATATTTATAATTGATTAAAATATGCTTTATTTAAGATATATAATTAAAAAACTTCAAGAATATAAATCAATAAGAGTAACTAATTAATAATAATAATCAGAAAATAAAAAAAAACTCTCTCTGACAATTACTCAGATACAAAATTAGTGGAAAAAGAAATCAACTTTCTGCATAAACAACAATAGAAAACATCCTAAACAACACTAAAGAAAAGTAATAGCAACAAAGAAAACATCAAACAAGCTTAGAAGCAAAAGCACTACAAGTGTTAGCAAGATAGTTATAGGAGAAAACTAAGTTTTTCATAGAAATTTTAGCAAAAGTAATAATTTTGGAAGATGGCTAGTGACCCTATATGTAGATCTGTTTGGATTACATAAACAACATATACAGTCTAGACAAACAAACATGTGCAAGTTATTAAATAGAATAGGATAAACAAGATACAACTAGAATACATAATAGAATACCCAAGAAAATAGAGCCATAAAAATGAATAAAAATCTTTATAGAAAGTACAAAGAAAGTTTACAAGTACTTTTTATAAAAAGAGCATACTGGGCTATAAATAGTGTGCATAACAAAACTTTTTTCAATAAGGTGGGTAGAACATACACAGTACCAGATAGAGAAGACAAAATTGTTGCAATTCTTAAAATCAAGACCCAAATAAGGTGGCTCTTTTATGCCTAACAAGAGAAATATTAGAAAAAGCTGAGAAAGAACAGCCAAAAAAAAAACTAAATATAAATATAGAAAACTAAGACCTGACAATAGAAGCAGAAAGAAGACAAATACAGTATAACCAAAATAAAGAACAGCAAATAATAACAAAAGAAAATGAAGAAGAAAGCATCAAAGAAAAACAAAAAAGGAAAAGAAACATAAAAGAGAAAATTAAAAATATAGAAAAACAAAAAGAAGCAAACATATTACAAAAAAAAAAATAGGTAGAGGTAAGTATAGAAAGAAGTAACAAACTGCCAGTTGAACCTTTATTCAGAAACAAGAACCTAGAAAACAAAGAGGAATAAATGAACAAGAAGATATAGAAATAAATGATAAGCAATCAAGACAAAACACATTAGAAGAAGAAAGAAAAAGACAAAAAAAAAAAAAACAAGAAACAAAAGAAGAAATCGATATTGTAGAAATAGCATTAGAACAAAGTATATGGGCACCAAGCAGAAGAAGTTGTAATCGAAACAACAGCTTAATCACTAATATACCAGCATACAAGGTTTCTAAAAAAACAGAAGAAGAGTGTATAAAATTTATTAGGTGATCTTTAAAGAATAATATTCAGGTAAAAGATATTAATGAAGTATTTAAGAGAAGAAATCTGTAAATAGAAATAGTCTTTGACTGTAATTATAGCAGAGATAAAGCTATACAAATAATTAATAAAAAAGAGAGTGATTGGTATAAGATAATATCAAAAGATGAAGAAAAGAAAGAAGGAAAAAAAGGAAGACTCAAGGACTACAATAAAGAACAACAAGATAAAAAAAAATATACACCAAGTTTTAAAAAAAAGAAGTTTAAGGAAGGTGCTAACAGAAAAGAACCAAATAATAATGTATATGAGAAAGAAGAAAGACTCACTAACAATATAACATACCTAACAATATAGAACCTACCAGCTAATATAAACAAAAGAGAAGTAGAGTATATTTGCAGAAGAATCAAAGATGTACAGATAATATGCATCAAAAGATTTAAGTACAAAGCTCTAGCAGTAATACAAATGCAAAGCATAGAAAAAGAAGATATTTCATGATCATTGTCAGCAGATAATAATAAGTTGATGAGAGAAACAAGAGAAAGAGAAGACCATAAAGCAAGAGAAGAACAAAGAAAACATACAGCCAAATTAACAGAACTACATGGAAATGTCTCAAAAGTCTTATTATTATAATGCCTGAGAAGTAAAGGGACAAAGTCAGTATACATTCCACTAAACTAAAATAGGAACCAAAAGAGAACAGCATTAATTATATTCGCAATAGAGAAAGACATAAAGGCAGCTTAATCAAAACCAATCATATACAACAATTTTCAAATATACTGGATTAATGAAAGGAAAAAAGAGCCAAAAAGAAGAGAAAGTTTCAGAAATAAAAGAGAAAGAAGCTAGAATAGATTAAGTCAAATTTCTGATGTAGGAGAAGGTGAAAGTAGAAAAAGAAATCAATAGAACAGAACATATACAAATAGGAAGAACAATTGAAGAGACCTAAAATCAAAAGTTCAAACAATAAAAAAAGAAAATAACAGCCTAAAACATAACATTGAAAATCAAAGAAGATATAGAAGTATAGATAATAAAAAAAAAGAAAACCAAGAAAAGAAAAAAATAAAAATAAAATGAAACAGCAAGAGAAGAACATACATATAGAAAATATGCTAGGCTGAATCTTAGAAAGATTAGAAAAACTAAAAAAAATAGGTGACTCAATAGAAGAAGGCATAGCCAATCACTCCTAAAGGCACCTTAGTTAAATTTATGAATATAGATGAGGAGATAGGAGAGTTCTTATAAGATAAAAAAAGAAGTTTCAAAAACAGAAAAAGAAAAACACATTCTTATCCAAAAGAAGAAAGAACTAGAAGAAAAAAGAGAAAAGAAAGAGAAGAAATAGCAAAGACAGTACAAGAATAACTAAAAGAAAGATAGAAAGAAAAAAGAAAAGAAATTAAAATAGCATGTCACAATATTAATGGACTCAAAACCAAAGCTTGAAAACTTGATAGTCTGCTGGACTGGGCAAAAAAAGAAGAAATCACAATACTAAGGTATTACAGAAACAAATTTTACAGAAAGAGAAGAAAGATTCTTAATACAAATGGCAAATAGGAAATATGTAGGATTTTGGTCAAGTGTAATAAAAGACAAAAAGAAGGAATCAGGTATAGGTATTATAATTAATGAACAATAGAAAAAACATATGGGTGTAGTTAAAAAAATAAATGAATATATAATAGAGCTTATACTATAGTTCAAGCAATTGGAGTTAGTAGTTCTAGAAGTTTATATACCACTAAGTGACAAGACAATAAGAAAAAGCATTCAACAAAAAATAGTAGAAATAGTTACCAAAAAGAAATGACAAATACAATAGTGATTTTAGATGATTTTAATTACATACTAAATAATGTATTAGACAGACAATATCCATAAGCAGCAAACTTCAAAAGATTGCTAATTTTTAATTGAATGAAGAAGCAGAACTTTAGGAATAGTTATAGAGATATGCATCCTACAAGTAAAGAATTTACATAGTCAAGTGAAGAAGTAGCAACAAGAATTGACTACATACAGATATTAGAAAAACTGGTCTCAGGCCTATAGAAAGCAGAAATTGAAGAAACAGAGGGAATTACTAAAAGCAATCATAAAATAATAAAGACAGAAATATGAATTAAACATATAATGACAAGAAATAGCAAAGTTGAAATCAAAAGGAAAAGACAATCAAGAACAGTATATCTATATGACCAAGCAAAAGAAAAAAACTAGAAAAAGTATACACAAGAGTTGCAGAAATAATTAGAAGTCAAGAAGGTGTTAAAGAACATTTGAAGAAAAGAAATAAACAATATAAACAGCATATAAGATGTATTAGAAGAAGCAATTATCACAGCAGCCAGTAAGTATTTGCCTAAGAAAAAGATATACAATATACTGACAAATAGAAGAAATAATCAAAAGAAGCAATACCAAGAAAAGAACATTGTAGATCTGCAAAGATTAATTAAATATGCAAAAACAAGAGAAGGTCAAGAAGTAACAAAAGAAGAAAGAACTGAAATAAATAAAAACTACAAATAATAGGAGAAAAAGAAGGTGCAAGGTTGCCAAAATTACACAGACAATGGTGAGTGCCTGGATAGAAGACATGAAAGGTTGGCAGAAACTATTACAAAAGAAAAAGAGAAAGGAATAGGAACAAAATCAAAAAAAATAAATAGAAGAAAACATAGATAAAAGATGTGAAATAATTAAAACAGATCAAGAAAAAATGATAGCCAGTCTATTAAACAAACCTTATAAAAAGATAATGCTTGACAGATTTATTGAACAAAAAGAAGAACTGACAAACTTAATAGTAAAGCTAGAGTTAATTAAAATTGGTGTAGCAGAATATTACAAGAAACAGTTTAGAATAAGAGATATGAAACTAGAAGAAATGTCAAAAAGATGGAAAGAAGTTTACAAGTCACAAGAATGCATTAAAAGGAATGGTATATGGAATTAGAAGAAAGCATCAAAGAAAAAGAATAAGAAGAAGTAATGAGAAACTTAAAATAGAAACAGCTCCAGACATATCTAATATAAGTTATATACTAATCAAATGAGTAGGAAAAAAAATACAAGAAGTCTTTAGAACCTTTGCCAACCTTTGTTTAGAAAAATAAGATAACTAACCAAGTGGAAAATTGCACAAGTTTATCTAATACCAAAAGACATAGAGTGAAGATATAACTTAAACAATATTTATCCAATAGCTCTAATTGAAACATTTAGAAAAATAATAACAAAGGTGATAACAAAAAGACTTGCCAAGGTGTTTATAGAAAAAGAAGTACTTAAAGAACCAAACTATGCAAGTCTACTAGAAAATTCAACAGAGCAGCCAGTGCATATCCTTAATATGATAATGGAAGAGACAAAAGAAAAGAACAAAGAAGTATGGATACTTCTACAAGATATGAAGAAGGCATTTGACTCAGTTCTACTTAAAAGTCTTGAAATGGCATTGTAAAGAGTTATAATTCCTAGAAGAATGATAAAATATATCTTAAATCTTTTTTACAAAAGACAACTAAGGATAATTACAACTTATGACTTAACAGAAGAAATAACAGCAGAAGATAGAATAGATCAAGGAGAAGTTATATCACTATTAATATGGCAGCTTTTCTACAATCCATTGTT